CTTGGAGTGACTTGGAGTCGCCCTACTGCGCGCCTTCGACCCTGACTTTGTAAAGCTGCTTGCCCGCGCCACGCCCAGTGGTTCAGGCCGCCGGCGGGCGGCGCGCCACCCGCCCGCGTCGGGCGTGGCGGCGCGCTGGTTCCAGGCGCTGCTGCTGCTGCCGCCGCCGTGCTCGCCGCCAGTCGCCCGTCGCCTTCCACGCCCCGCCAGGCCGTCGACGTTGTCGGGCACCAGGCCCCGCCCCGCGGGCGACGAGGGGGCTGGGGGATCGCCGGTTCTCGGGGCCAGGCCTGGTGTCCAGCCGCTTCCAGGCAAACGCGCCAGCAGCGCGCGCTGGCCACAGCGCCGTCGCCCCTCGGCGCTGGGACTCGCACTGTTGCGGGGGAGGGCGGCGTCAGGATGGAGCGCGTCCGTCCGCGCGTCGCTGCCACGGGCTGGAGGGTCAGTCGAGGAGGTGCACGGGCGGGCGGTCGCCTGCTCCTGTCGTCTGGCGCCCCCGGCTTCCGGTCCAACGCCTGCTCTGTCCCCAGGCCGTCGGCGTCGGCGTCGTCGTCGGCGTCGGCGTCGTCGCCAGCGTCGGCGTCGTCGTCAGCGTCGGCGACGTCGGTCGTCTGCCGCCTGTCAGACCCCACAAGGCCGTCGACGTTGCTGGGCACCAGGCCCCGCCCCGCGGGTGGCGAAGAGGCCGGGGGATCGCCGCTTCTCGGGGCCAGCGGCGCCCAGCCGCTACCAGGCAGACGCGCCAGCGTCGCGCGCCGGCCGCAGCGCCGTCGCTCCTCGGCACTGGGACTCGCACTGTTGCAGGGGGGACGGCGTCAGGATGGAGCGCGTCCGCCCGCGCGTCGCTGCCACGGGCTGAAGGGTCAGTGGATGTGCGCGGGCGGGCGGCCGCCTGCTCCTACTCGTCTGGCGCCCCTGGCTTCTGGTCCAACGCCTGCGCTATTCCCAGGTCGACGGCGTCGGCGCCGGCGTCCTCAGCGTCGTCGTCGCCGTCGTCGTCGTCGTCGGCATCGGCTTCGTCGTCGGCGTCCGCGTCGGCGTCGCCGACGGCGTCGGCGTCGTCGGCATCGGCGTCGTCGTCGGCGTCGGCGGCGGCGGCGTCGGCGACGGAGCCGGCGTCGGCGTCGGAGTCAGTCAGCACGGGCGGCGGGGCTCCGCTACAGAGCCCAGCACGTCCCACAGGTCTCTGTCGAGGCACCGGCCGCGCGGGGATGGAGGGTCAGTCGAGGAAGCGCGTAGGTGGGTGGTCGCGTGCTCCTGCTCGTCTAGCGCCCCTGGCATCTGCTCCACCGCCTGCCCTGCTGTGTCCCCAAGTCGTCGGCGTCGGCGTCGGCGTCGTCGGCGTCGTCGTCGGCGTCGGCGTCGGCTTCGTCGGCGGGAGGGCAAGCCACGCTCGTGCCAGGACGACCGGCGACGGCTGACGGCGCAGAGTGGAGTGGCCTTGCACGCTACAGGACAACGGCTGCGCAGCGGTGCCCCCCCCCGCCCCTTCCCCAGGGGGGCCGTCATCTCCGGTTGGGCGTCTGATCGTCGCAAGTGTTTTTTGCGAATCCCCCCCAGGTAGGTGACTAATCGTCGCAAGCGTCCTGTGTGAATCCCCCCTGGCAGGCGACTGATCGTCGAAAATTTACTGAGACACGGGAGGGGGGGGAGTCTTCCCTCGGCATGCAACTAATCTTCGCAAATGTACAAGGAGAAACGGGAGGGGGGAGGGAGGGGGGCATCATCTCCAGGCAGGCGACTGATCTTCGCAAATGTTCTCCGCGAGTCATCCCCAGGCAGGCGACTGACCGTCTCAAGATACGAGAGGTCAGCGCCACGCCAACCAGGTCCTGACGGCCCCGGCGACCCGCTAGGCCCAAAGAGCAGATAGCGCGCCTCTCCGCCAAGCGGCGCCGGAGGCCAGGAAGAGCTCGGGACGCAGAGCGAAGCAGGAGTCTGTAGAGCTTCGACACACATTCCCCGCCCAGTAAATGCAACCTTCTGGCCCAACGCTGAAGCGAAACCCATGCAAAGACCAGGTTTCAAGCCGGTATCGCACGCGTGTTGGTTACTCATAAGCCGTATTTCAGCCATACGCACGAAACAATGCTCGGGAAAGCTCGACGCATACATGCCGAGCCCGAGTTGGCACAGACAAGCGACGACCTCGGGCTCGCAAGCAGGGGCAGGGTCGGCTGCGAGCGGGGCCGCCGAAGCAACACCTCTTGGGCCCGTCGGAGAAGCTGCATGACCTGCTCGCTGGCGAGCCGCACGCTGTCTCGCGCGGCGGGCTGCCGGGGCTGAGATGGCATCATCGCCTTCGCGGCCCTGCTGACTATGCCAATCTTGACTGTGCCAACTTCGCTGAGTATCATCGGGGTACCGTGCTGACTATGCCAACCATGACTGTGCCAACCTCGTTGTTCCTGCCACTCTGACCAAGCACCGCCAGAATGCCACGCGCTCATCTCAGAAATGTGGGTGTGGAAAAGAAGACCAGAACGAAAGTAACAGGGATACAGAAGGTAATGGCAGTGGCCTCCTGTCGGCCCGCGGCTTGACCCAGAGCGGCTTGAGCCAGACTTGAGCCAGAGGCTACGGATGGTGGAGGGCACGCGAAGCGTCAAGAATTGTCAGGACTTCGGAGGACCGAGTATGGAACAAGTCAATACATCGCATGTTTGGGGACTCGGCGTCGAAATATACCCTCTGGGTTATAATGAGTTTAGGGGGCGTGACATTATCGATGAATTGCATTCAGCGCACGCCTCAACTCACGAGTGGACACACATCGGGGCATCAAGATGGATATTCATCTCGAGAGAAACAGAGAGAGAGAGAAAACAAAAAAAGAGATAGAGAGAGAGAGAGTTGCTGCCTGTGCTCTCATGCAGTACACTGATCCCAGCGCGGCAGCCGCTCCGCCAAGACACATTGTTTCCTCCATACTCGGTGCGGTTATCAATGCTGCGAACGGTGCAAAACGTGCCGTCCGGTCCTAGCCGGCACGGTAAACCAAATGCCCAGGGAGGGAATGAGGGAGCCGAGCTTTTTGTATACACATACGCGTCCAAGCCCAAACTCTAGAGTCAGAGTTGGCGCCTGTGCTCTCAAGATCAGTCGGGAAAACAATCGGGACAACCATCGGGCCAACCATCGGGCCAACCATCAGGACAAACATCTGGGCAACCATCGGGACAACCATCGGGACACCCTATCGGGACAACCGTCGGGACAACCTATCGGGACAACCATCTGAACAGCATTCAGCGGGAACAGCATCGGAACAACTATCGAGACAGCCACCGGGACAACCGTCGGAACAACCATCGGGACAACCATCTGGAAAACCATCGGGACATCAGTCGGGAAAAAAATTGGGGCAAGCATCGGGACAACTATCGGGACAACCATCGGGACAACCATCGGGAAAATCATCGGGACAACCATCTAGGCAACCTATCGGGCCAACTATCGGGACAGCCATCGGGGCGACCTATCGGGGCAGCCTATCGGGCCAACCATCGGGACAACTTCTGGGACTACAATAGGGGCAACCACCGGAACAATCAGCGAGAACACCGCCAGAACAACCGTCGGGACCGCCAACCATCGGGGCAGCCATTTTGAGAGCCAACGGGACATCAGTCGAGACGACCATCGGGACAGCCATCGGGACAGCCATCGGGACAACCATCGGGCCAACCATCGGGAAAACCATCGGGAAAACCTGTCGGGACAACCCCGCGACGCGGCCGCCGCGGGGGCGACACAGTTCTGTTTGACTTGGCCTGCTCGGCATCTGCTTGAAGACCAACGCACGCCTGGCCGAGCCGTTCCGCTTTGGCCGAACTCGGCCTCTACTCCTCTACTAGGATTAGGTCGGGCATGTCCTCCTACAGGGGGATTGTGGACGAAAAATCGGAAATACTCCAAAAAAATTCAAACCTAGTCAAAAAAACTAAAAAAAAAAAAAAAAAAAAAAAAAAAAAAAAAAAAATCGTCCCCCGATCATGTTTTGACTCTGTTTGAGTATTCCTCCTGTAGTGGGACAAGCCCGACTTAATACCAGGGTTCTGTTGCTCCCATCGTACTTAAGGACCACATCCCAGAAATCATTTCGAGCACGAAAGAGTGTCGAAGCAGTGTCGAAATAGTGTCGGACGAGCGTCTCCCAGGGACCGACAGGTGAAAACCCCCGAGTTTCGGTACTTTCTTCTGGTGCCCGCAATTATTTCTGGTGATCGAGGCTAGAGTAGGTTGGAACATCATAATGCCAGGGATGGAGTTCGCTCGCGCAGCCTCGCCTCGCACGTCGCGCGCGTCGCGCACGGCACGGACTCACGGCATGGAGCGGTCTCGCGCACCAGCCTGCGATCCACCGCCCTGCCGAGGTCCCACGGGGTCGTGGATGCCATGACAATGGACACCCCAACAGTCCTACAGTGCGGGCGCGGCCGCAAGAATCCTTCGCAAGAAACCCAACCCTGAAAACCCGCGCGCGAGGTGAAAACCTGAGCATCATGAACGCAGCAGGTTCCTCAACGGTTGCGGGAAGTCACCGCGCAGCGCGCGGAGCGAAGAAACCCTGGGTACCTTGACGACAAGCAGATGGTTTCTTGATGCGCGCCCCCACTGTATCGTTGAACTGAAGATGTGCGCAAAATGTTTGGAGAGTGTTCTGAACATGTTTAGAACACATTTCCGAACATGTCTTAGGCATCTGGAAGGTGTTTGGCAGCATGCTTCCTCTCCGTTGATCGCCGTCCACAACCATAGGATCGATCCGCCAGGAGGTGGTCATGAAAAAATCCCCGCCGCAGAGACCAGCACGCGCACAAGCTCTCGGAGGTCCGCGCGGACTTCTTGGATCGGCGCTGGGCCCCGCGCTCCCTACCGCGCGGGGCGCTGGGGACGGCGCAGGAGGCGCCGCCAAGGGGACTCCAGCGCCGATCCAAGAGAGCAGCGCGGCCCTCCGAGAGGGTGTCTGCTGCGTGCCGTTGTTTTTTCCTCGGGTCCTGCACCAGACCTGATCGAAGTTGTCCGCCCCGCAGTAGTTCTGCGTCACCGCGACGCAGTCCTCCTGCTGGCGGCGCGCACGAGGGGGGGAAGGGGGGAAGGCTTCTTAGAAAGAGGGTGCTTCTTAGAAGGCGCCGGCCATACATTTACAAGCAAGGCCCGCGCCTCATAAGAAGCAGGGTTGCTTCTAAGAGGCCGGCCCCCCATCCCCGTACCCCCCTCTGCACGAGGCTGGTCCTGGTTCAGCACGCCGTGCCACCAGTCCCCCGGGACGAAGATCACGTCGCCCGGGCCCTGCAGGCCCTCGTACACCCTGAGGTCTGGATGCGCCTGCTGGTCCGCTTTTGTCCACGGTTCGCGATGGGCTCCACCCGACCGTTTGCAAAAGAGAGCCCCAGAAAGTGGGTGTCAGGCAGGCGGCATAGTTGTCTACATTGAAACAGACAAGCAATCAAACAAACGAACAAATAAGCAAACAGCACATAGATGAACAAACACACAAACAAGCAAACGATCGTACAAACAAACAGGCAAACACGCAAACAAACAAACTAAGAAGCAAGCAAGCAAGCAAGTAATCAAGCAAGCAAACAAACCGCATGCAAGCCGAAAACAAGCTGGCGGGCAGGCCACGGGCTGACCCTGGACCTGGACACGCGACAAAAGCAGCGCCCAACACGTTCACCAAAGCGAAGATCACGACATCGAAAAAAGGTGGGGGGCCACCAGCGCTCTCCATTACACCTACGCGCCTGCTTGATCCGCGGCAGCAGGAAGTCGAAGTACATGATCGCCTCGTCGTCCTCCCCCTTGACACGAAGGTCCTTGCCTGTCACCACCCTCTTGTTCTCCTCTTGAGAGGGGTCGCATGCGGTGGACTGGCTCGAGGTTTCGAGGTGGAGGGTTCTCTGACGCTTTCATTGGTTCTCGGCGGCTCTCCAGCCTCAGCCTCGGGATGCTGTGCAGCGGCTGCGCCTCGCCGCGAGCTTTCTGGGGGTGCCCGGATCGTCCCCAGCGGCCGCCGGAGAACCGAGTTGTGACCCGGACACCAGGAACAACGAAGATCACTTGGGTAGACGACCTGGAAGCCGCGAGATATAACGCCGCATATAGATCGGCGGTAGGCCCCCGAGATAGCGAAACCGCATGTTCCTGGGCGGGGTGGGGGGCCCAGGCCCACGTTCAGAAGAAGATCATGGAAAACAAGAACACACAGAAAGATAAAAACAAAAAACAAAAAAAAACAAAAGCATAACAGAAAAACTGAGATCCGCACAATTCTCCCGGATCTGCGCCAGGCCCCCCCCCCCCGACGCGCGGAGCGCGCCAGTGGCGGCGCCAGAGGCGCCGCCAGGGGGATGGGCGGCTGAGGGCCGATGCTTCCCCCCTGGGCCAGTCCCCCCCTGTCGTTGCCCCTGATCCTTCGGCTCGAAGAGAACCCAGCGCTTGGTGCCGTGGGTCACCGCGTTCCACGCCGCTGTGCCGAGGGGGTCTATGGTCGGGAAAACGTGAGACTCGGGTTGGGGGGGACTCGAACTTGCCCGACGTGGCCGTCAAAAAAATGGCGGAACCCAATATGCAACTTGACGCGAGCTTTCGCTTCAAGCATCTCACGGAAACTGAACCGTCAAAATCCATGCTGCGACCGTCAGAAAGCGGCGGCAAGCCCCAGCTTGAAGGAACAGAAAAAAGGCATAAGCATAAACTTTGACGGTTTGCGCCGAGCTGGACCCCTCTTCCCGGCGCGCGGAGCGCGCCAGGGAGAGCCCCGGCACGGATCCAAGAAATCCGCGAGGACCGTCCAAAGTTCATGTTTCTGCCGTTGCTTGCTCTTTGAGAGTTCTAGCCAGCTCGGGTCTTACGCGTCCCCGATCTGTGTACCGTGGTGCCGGACCGCTTCGGCCCGATGCAGAACCACCGGTAGGGAGGGCGCGAGTCACGGGTCCGGAGGAGGGCCAGTCTTAGGTCGGGCATGTCCTCCTACAGGGGGGTTTTAGACGAAACGCAAAAAATACTCAAAAAATTGAAAAATGGTCGAAGAATACTCAAAAAAATCGTCCCCAGACTATTTCTGGACTATTTTTGAATTTTCCTCCTGTAGAGGGACAGGCCCGACTTAGGGCCAGTCGAGGCCACGGCGGCGCTCCCTGGCCCTCTCCGTCCTTTCCGGGGCCTCCCCGAGGCTTCTCGTCGAGGAGGAGGCGGCGGAGGAGGAGGAGCAGGCGGAGGAGGAGGAGAAGGAGGCGGCGCAGGCGAAGGAGGCCGAGGCGCAGGATCCGCCCCGAGAAGTGGGCCGCGACGGGCTGGGCGGGAGAGGCGTCGTCGCTGCAACTGGCCCCCCTCCGAATGGTTCATGAGCCCGAAGTAATCATCTGGAAAGAGGTTCGGGACTCGCCGACCCCTCAGGGTCTACTCTCGGGGGGAACGAAAGGGGGGGATAGCAGAGGGTAGGGTAGAGAATCAGCTCACGTAGCCGATTTTCCCAGCACCTCCTGGCGCCAGGAGGCGCCCATGTATGAGGAATGGGCCCGGCGGCGGGGCCGAAACCAGCTGCATGCAGAAGATTTCGCAACCCCCCCCTTCCCTATCCCCCCTTTCGTTTGGCCCGATACCCGGCGTGTGAGACTGTTGCACCTCCCAAACCCCTCCCCTCCAGTCTGGCCGATTTGGAGGAGGATTTTGAAACAGCAACGACACTGACCAATGACCTTCTGGGCGACGAGCACTCTGCAACGGCAAGATGAACATGAGGAAGGGGAAACGGGTAGAGGGCGGAAAAAAGTCCAACGGACCGGGTTACCCCAAAAATGCTCCCAGACGGCATCCGACGGCCTCGAGATTGCCCCAAGCGGCCGAAATTTACGGCCAAAAATGGCACCCACTTTGCCCCAGAGGTCGGCGGTTTGGCGTCAGCCTTGGAATCTCGTAGTCCCTGACGAGCGGCTTGATCAGGGCGTTGTCGTCTACGTTGGTCTCGAAGAGGTACAGAGGGCTGTCGTCCTGCTGGCTCCTCAGGTAGTCGGCATAGTACTTGAACTTCATGCGGAGCTTCTTGCCCTTGTCGTCCTTGGCCACCTCTCGAGGATTGACAGGAGGCCCTGCAGAGGAGTGCCCGTTGGCAAAAACTTCCCCAGGGGCACTCCGCGTGCGCACGGCACCGCGTTCCGAGTGGACCCGGGGCGGGTCGGCCAGCCAACGTCCAGCAGCGAGAGAATACATCCAGCGAGGCACGCGGCGATTCGGGAAACCGATTGGGGGCTGCACTGGTACACCTAGAATGCCGATGTCGAGAGAACCGATGCAGATTTCCTCAATCGTTAGGTCGGGCATGTCACCCCAGAGGCAGATTTGGGGCGAAAAAATACAATCGGAAAATGCTCAAAAAATCTTCCCCGTACTAGATTTCGACTATTTTCTATATTCCTCCTGTAGAGAAACAGGCCCGACTTAACTCAATCGTCTTGTCTAGGTGGGCGCTGTCTCCATGCCCGAACCTTGAACTCCACGTTCTTGAACCGTTCCTCCAGGGCGTCGACGGACCACCGGTGCATGGCAGGCCAGTGCGCGCACGCCCCCTCCACGATAACGGGCCGATGCCTCGACGACGCGTGCTCGAAGAACCACTCGGGAGTGACGTCCGACGCCTTATTTGGAGTCCCGAAACGGTGCGGTGACAGACCGTGCGGTGGCCTCGAAATCCCCCAAGACCTCACCGCACGGTCCGTCAGCGCACGGCTTTGGGACCTCGGAGGCCCCCGTCGCCCGAGACGTCCTCGGAGAAGGACCCGAGTCCCAGACCGCGCGGTGGCCCCGAAGCCCCCGCCGACTCACCACACGCTGTGACCACCACCCCGTCTGGGGGCCCCCGACCTTCACTCTCCAGATCGGCAGGGTCTGCTGGTCGTACTGGATGGGGCGCGCGATCCGCTGGCCCCCCCGCTCGCCGCGGGCGATCGTGGGCGGGGTGAGCGCGAGAGGGCAGGGCCCTCTCGGGAGGCGGCGGGGCTTCTCGGACGGCCCCCCGGCCTCCTGAGAAGCGGTCTCTGTCGGGGCACACAGGGACATGCCAGTACTGCACGCCCTCCTTGGAGGCGCGCGTCCGACCCGAACATAGCAGTAGAACCCATCTTGTAGCATATCGTTCCCCGAGAGGGGTGGCCAGGAAGCGCCCACCACGACGCACATACCAGAAGATTTCTCGGTGCGCGCGTCGCCCCTGGGGGAGGGCGTCGCATGTATAATTCGATAATATCTATATATATAGTATAAGTACGTCGGGGTGACGCCGATCTACCATTTCCCAAAGGCCCTCCAACCCTTGCACCGGCATCCGGCATCCAGCTGCTGGCTCCGCCCACCCAACCCCTCCCGAGGCTCCCTGGACGCCTCGACGCCTCCCTGGACGCCTCGACGCCTTCCCTGGACGCCTCGACGCCTGGGGGGGCGTCGCAGATATCGTATCAGGTCGGGCACGTCCCCCTACAGGGGGATTTTGGACGACACATTAAAAGATAGTCCAAAAATTCAAGAATCGTCCCCAGGCTATTGTTGTTCCTGCCTTGGAGTGTTCCTCCTGTCGAGGGACAGCCCCGACATCAATATGTGGCGTCAGGCCTGCTGGGGCGGTGCCGATCCTGCCTCCCGAGGGCGCTCCGACGGCTGCTCGGCAGGCCAGGAGGCCCTTTGGAGCCCTCCGAGGAGAGGCCCGCCGAGGCCCGGGGCGGGAGCGCGTGGGGCACGCGTGGCCGTCGCCCCCGGGCGCCCGAGGCCGCGAGAAGTGAAGGGGGGCCTGGGACACACAAATCAATACACACAGATGACAGGATGCCCCATGTCTTCCCATACTTTCTGGGTTTCTGTCTTCCCCCCCACTGCCCATGCTTTCCCATATTTTCCGGGGAATCGACGATGAATTGTGTCTGTGTGTTGTTTCCCCTCCTGAAGAAAGCTGGGACCTCGTGAAGAATCACGGCCGGAGCCCTGGGCACCATCTCGTGAGCGTTTCTGTTTTTCGGCGCCTCGACAGAGTGGGCGTCCAGGGAAGGGAGGGGGAGGGGGGGGAAGGGCCCGGCTCTGGGCCCCTGCGCAGCGCGGCGATCTGCGACGGAGTGCGTCCTGTGTGGGAGGGACCCCATCCTGCTCGAAACGCGCGCCCCAAAAGCAGCCGAGATCCACTCCCAGGGGATGAGGAAGGATGAGGAGGGAAGTGGAGGAGGAGGAGGAGGAGGAGGAGGAGGAGGAGGAGGAGGAGGAGGAGGAGGAGGAGGAGGAGGAGCGAGGAGGAGGAGGAGGAGGAGGAGCGAGGAGATCGGCAAAACAGTGAGCGAGAAGACGATCCCCTGTCTGTGCCACGTCTCGAGCCGCGTCGATCTGCGAGGGCCCCGGGGGGCCCGCAGCTGGGGGGGAGCGCGCACAGAGCACAACGAGACATCGAGACGCCAGGATCTCGGGGCCCTCTGCCGGCAGCCCACCCTGAGGTCGGGCATGTCCCCCTACAGGCGGATTTTGGATGAAAGCTTAAGAGATAGTCAAAAAAATACTCCAAAAATACTCACAAAGGTTGTCAAAAAATCGTCCCCAGACTATGTTTTGACTATTTTTGAATAGTCCTCCTGCAGAGGGACAGGCCCGACGTGAAGCTGCCCCAGCCCAACCCGAAGTCGCCGTCGGGCCTGCCAGTTTCCAGTGGGGGGCGTTCGGGGGAGCATTGAGACAGCACAACAGAAACTCGTACACCCCCCCACCCAAAATTTGGGGGGGGGGCTCCGCGGCCTTCTGGTTTCGGGGGCGCGCAAGCATGGATTAGCGATCCGTGGATTCGGCGCGCGGTCGCCAAATCCACGGATCGGGGGAGGTGCCCTCCCCAAAATGCGGCCGGTGCCGCCTCGCTCGGCGGCGGAGATCCGCGGTTTGAAGTGGAGACGGGACCCGTCGCTGATCCACGCCCCCATTGATCCGTGCTTGCGATCGCCTGAACTTTGGGGGGCTCTGGGACCTTCGGGTCGGGTTGGGGTGGCTCTGTCAAGTGGTGAGGTGGTTCGGCAAGCAGTGGTTCCCTCCTCCCCCAGGGCCCAGAATCTCGTGGAAGAGAGAGGGGGTCCCCCCACGAGCTCGTCAGCGCCCCTCTGGCGCCCTCGGAACCTCGCCATCCAGCCTCCGCCGCCACCAAGATGCCCCAGAGGCCTTCCAGCACAGCTCGGGAAGGGCACCAGCACGCCCGAACAGCCTCCCAGGCAGACGATGTCTTGACGTGTTCCATTCCATGCTGGGCCCCCTGAAGTCCGACCCTGTCCCCAGGGCCCGTGTCTCATCTTGACGACCCCGGGACTGGCGAGGGCCTCCCGAAGCCGAAAACGGACTGAAACCTCCCGTCGTGCTTCTTGTGCTGTTCACGATGCGAGCATGTGTGGGAAAGGCGCAGGCCTCTCGCGTCACCTCCTCCTTCGCGGCGTAGCCGAATCGGTCCCACTCGGAAGGCCTGAGACGGGTACGTGAGCGTCGAATCGGCAATCTGACCAAATCGACGTGTGCCTCGGACCGGGCTGCATCGGCACGGAAACGAAACCGAATCGGATCGGGAGCGCCCGAATGCACCACAGCGCCATGCGAGCATCTGGCCGCATCGGAGCGTCGGAATATCGGAACCGAGGTCGGATCGGGCTGGCCCGCACCGCTGTCGAACCGCATGGATCGGATCGAAGCGGGCCCCGCCTGATGTCGGAGCGCTTGCCCTTCTTGCAGCGCCAGACCTCGCCGGCCGTCCGCCGCCGCGCAAACCGCAGGTCCCCGGGCGGCCGCGCCCCGGCCGGCGTCCTCGCAGCGGCGCGCCAAACAAGGTGGGCCTTCTTGGCGGCCCTCCCGCTGTCCAAAGAGCCATCCCCAGACATGCTCGCGTCGTGAAATTACATTGGCGACGTACCCAAGCCCTTCGCAATGCAGGGCACGAGTAGCCTGGGAAACGTTATTCTGAGGTGATGACGTGACATGGGCGCATATAATTCTGCGAGCGGCATTCGTGAGGCTCGCAGCCCCCCAGGGATGGCGAGGTCCCGCTCAGATCTGCGCGGTGCCTCGCTCCGCTGGACCCACCAGCAGCCCTCGAAAGTGGCGACAGTTTCGCAGATCGCAGCCCCCCCAAAGGACGGCGAGGTCTCGCTCAGATCCGCGCGGTGCCTCGCTCCGCTGGACCCACCAGCAGCCCTCGCAAGTGGCGACAGGGACGGCGAGGTCCCGCTCAGATCTGCGCGGTGCTTCACTTCAGTGGACCCACCAGCAGCCCTCGCAAGTGGCGAAAGTTTCGCAGATCGCAGCCCCCCCCAGGGACGGCGAGGTCTCGCTCAGATCTGCGAGGTGCATCACTCCGCTGGACCCACCAGCAGCCCTCGAAAGCGGCGACAGGGATGGCGAGGTCCCGCTCAGATCTGCGCGGTGCCTCGCTCCGCTGGACCCACCAGCAGCCCTCGAAAGTGGCGACAGTTTCGCAGATCGCAGCCCCCCCAAAGGACGGCGAGGTCTCGCTCAGATCCGCGCGGTGCCTCGCTCCGCTGGACCCACCAGCAGCCCTCGCAAGTGGCGACAGGGACGGCGAGGTCCCGCTCAGATCTGCGCGGTGCTTCACTTCAGTGGACCCACCAGCAGCCCTCGCAAGTGGCGAAAGTTTCGCAGATCGCAGCCCCCCCCAGGGACGGCGAGGTCTCGCTCAGATCTGCGAGGTGCATCACTCCGCTGGACCCACCAGCAGCCCTCGAAAGCGGCGACAGGGACGGCGAGGTCCTGCTCAGATCTGCGCGGTGCTTCACTCCGCTGGACCCGCCAGCAGCCCTCGAAAGTGGCGAAAGTTTCGCAGATCGCAGCCCACCGGGGGGAGGAGGCGAGAGGAGGAGGACACGCGACCGCGGTGCTCGGGCTGAGAGCTTCCATGCGCGTTTTCGTCCGTCCTCGGCGGTTCTCCAGCCTTTGCATCCGCTTCCACGGCTGCGCCTCGCCGCCGGCGATCTGGGGCTGCCCAGATCGTCCCGAAGGGCCGCCCGAGAGCCAAGCCCCACGGCCCGAGAGCCCAAACATGCACGCACAAAGAGCAAAGGACCACGACGGCGAACTGCTGCCCGTCTTCTCGGGCTCCGTGGGCTCTCTCGCTGGGCCCCGGGATCCTCAGGAAACGCCTCGGGGTGGGACGCCCGTCGGACTGTTGGGGACCGCGCATCGGAGGAGGAGGAGGAGGAGGAGGAGGGAGGAGGAGGAGGAGGAGGAGGGGGAGGAGGAGGAGGAGGAGGAGGAGGAGGAGAAGGAGGAGGAGGAGGAGGAGGAGGATTCTCTCAACCGTTTAATGTTGTCCAACGCACAGGCACGGCGAACCTGCTGCTGGCCCCTGGCTCGGAACAGCTGGAGCGGCTCGAAAACCGGACGCAGGGTCTGGGAGTTGGGGCGCCTGGAGGGGTCCCACTGAGGCGCTGTGCAGGGAACGGAGCCGCGGGTGGAGCGCGGGCGCGCCGCCGCCGTGGCAGGAGCCAGGTGGAGCCCCGGCACGCCCCGCCAGGAGGGCCCAGGCCGAGGGCGAAGGCCGCGATCCCAGACGTGCTCGCGTCGCGAGAAATCGGGGCGGGCAGCTATTGGCAGCTTTCGGTCTCTTGGGGCATTCGCTGGGCCTCGCTTCTGTCAAAGACCTAATCGAGGTGTGAAAGCTGGCCCTGGGAAAAGGTAGGACAAAGGCAGAATCGGACAAAATCTGACTGGTATCATTTGGAAATCTCTGAGAATCAATCGGCTGCTCTGGAGGATGTATCGGGCGCCACGGCCGCTTCAGAGCGTTTCAGAACGCTCTGAGAGCGTTCTGGAACGCTCTGGAGCGAACTTATCTCGATTCTTCGAGTAGGGGATCGACTACAGAATCGATCTGCCCCAAAACTGATTGCCCGTCGACCCCACGAAACATACGCAAGATGCTCCGCAGATCAACTGACTCTTCTGCGTGCCATCTCGTGGGCTCGACGAGGAAGTCAGCTCTGTAGCCGATCCCCTGCTCGAACTCCAGACCCGTCCGAAAGGGGTCGGGACTTCTTCGGACCGCGCACGGAGGAAAGCGAGATCGGCGCGCCGCGCGCCTTTTGAGCGCCCAGCGCCCCCGGCGGCCCCGGAAAAAGGTGCGACGCGCGGCTCGGCGGCGACGACAGGGGCGACTAGCCCAGGGGCGGGCATTACACGTATTCGCCCGGGAGCCCTTTCGAAGACACGGGTCATCGGCGCACCTGAAGACATGTACACCCTGCGAAGTGCTTAAGAAATCATGGGTTCAGAGATTCATAGTCTCAGAACTTGGATAAAGACCCAACATTTCTGTCAAAATCATAGGATTTACATTGAAACGTTAAGAATAATCGAGAATCTGGCCGAAAACTTAAGTTTTCTTAAGCATCGCCTAAGGTATATTGCTCTCCTCTGGGCTCTTCGCCCCCATCGTCGCCTCTGAGCGGCCGCCCCCCAGCCGTACACCCCCAGAGCTCCGGCGGGCTGCTTTCTTCGACCTGTGCGTTTCTCCCTGAGCACGACGAAGCCAGGACAAAGATATAGGTTCCAATATTTTTCCAGGGATCGGCGTTTCGGCGTTCCTGATCTCCCCCCACGCTGTTGGTCGGAGCCAATGCTGGGCCACCTCGGCCCCCCAGCGGGCTCTAACTTGCAACCTTTCATGCATCGGAGCTGGGGCCACTTAAGACGAAGCCAGGACGGAGGTGAAATCGGGTGACTCGGAAATATCTGAGAGCTGGCGGCTCTGGAGGATGTATCGGGCGCCGCGGCCGTTTCAGAGCGTTCCGGAGCGGATTTATGTCGACTCTAGGCCCGTCCGATTCCCTGAGTTCGCCTTCTGGGGGCTGTTGCTGGGCGACCCGATGCTCAAAAATGGGCCTAGGACGACAACTACCCCCAGCGACAGGTCGCGCGTCCCCCTACAGGCGGATTTTGGACGAAAAATGCACAAAAATTTCATACTATACTCCAAAATGAACGAAAATGCTAAAAAAAATCGTCCCCAGAATATGTTTTGACTGGTTTGGGACACTCCTCCTGTAGAGGGACGTGCCCGACCCGAGGCCTGCCCCCAGCTCACCTCCCCCCCTGGGCGCGCCGCCGAGCCGATCCGAGAAATCCGCGCGAACCTCCGAGTTCTTATGCTCCGATACGCGAAGCGAAGCGTTGAGAATCTGTCCTTCGACTCCAGCCCTGGCGACCCCACTCGCCGCTTGCCATCGCTCGGACATCCATTCCGCGCATTTTTCGGTCTCGTGCGTGCTTGTCTGCAGGATGGTCCAGGATGCTCTTCGAGGGCCCACGCCGAGAAAAATCCGCGCTGTTCGTTGCCCGATCCCTCCCGACCAGCTCTCTTTGGCATCCCCGAGCCCAGCGAGGGCACGACACCTCCCGTCGTCATCTGCTCACGGTCTGGCCTCGGTTTCTTCAGTACGGGGTCCCCACGGCACGCTCGAGGAGCAGGACCCCCCCCCCCCTCCTCCTCCTCCTCCTCCTCCTCCTCTCCTCCTCCTCCTCCTCCTCCTCCTCCTCCTCCTCCTCCTCCTCCTCCTCCTCCTCCCCCTCCTCCTCCTCCTCCTCCTCCTCCTCCCCCTCCTCCCCGTGGCGGCGGCGGAGCTCCCCAGATCCCTGGACCACTTCTGGGGACCGGTTTTTCGCCCTGCATCGTCTTTTGACAGTCCTGAGGCACGGCGAGGGTCTGCATATTAGAGAACCCTCTGTCTCGATCTTGTTAAACACGTCGGATGGCTTTGGTTTCCGGGTCATAACTCAGGCCTCCTGCGGCCGCTCGGGAAGATCCGGGCACCCCCCGAAAGCTCTCGGCCAGGCGCAGCTGCTGGAACGCGTCCCGAGGCTGGAAAACAGCCGAGGCCAGACGAAGACGCACGAAAACCTTGAAACCAGAGACTCGAAACCTGCGAGAACCAGAGCCTGTGGATGGGGATGTCCTTGGGTGGAAGGGGGGGGGAGGGGGGAGGGTCTGGCTCCAGGCCTGTGCTTAATGCGACTGCTTGCAACAGTGCGTCCTATGGGGGAGACTCCACCTGTTTGAAGCCGGCGCCAAAAACAGCCCAGAGCGCGTTTCTCGATTTTCGGCGATAATGGGCATTGTAGGGGGGGAGGGGCCAGGGCGGGGTACAGCGTAACGCTTCCCCCACGCCGTGCGCACGGCGGCAGTGCCCGGAGCGCACTAGGGGGGAGAGGGGCGTTCCGTTGTGTGGGGGGGGGGGCGGGGGCCACAATGCCCATTATGCCCCAAGCAAGAAAGAAACACGCTCCAGGAACTGCTCGGGGGAGGGGGGGGGGGTGCGAGGGCCCGCGCCGAGCGGCAAAACCACGACTGCGAGAGAGAGGGGAGGGGGGGGGGGGGTGCGAGGGCCCGCGCCGAGCGGCAAAACCACGACTGCGAGAGAGATCGCAAGCCGTGGGATGCCCGAGGAGCGCTGCCCGCTTCCGTGCGCGCCGCGTGTCCTCGCCGCGCTGCCGGGGCTGGCGGAGCGGGAGCGCCCGCGCGCGGGCGAGCAGCTGGCCCCGGGCGCGGTGGTGGAGCTGCCGCGCCGGCCACGCGCAGGGAGCGACGGACGGACGAACGAACGGACTCCCGATGGGCTCAGCGGCCGTGTCCTGCTACAGTCGGCTACTCGCAAGAGTGACCCTGAATAAGAGTGACCTTTGGTGCGCGGCTTTTTGGGGCCGCGGGGCGACCAACCACAAGCCCGCAAGACGCTGCTATCGCAACGCGTTCGACGATCGGGGGACCCCAATGGGCCCGCACCAAAGGTCACTCCAGCGAAGGGTCACTCTTACGTGTAGTCGATACAGGCAGCGGGGCAAAGAGAATTTGGATGGCAACTCGCATTGCAAGGGCCATGGCAGGCCATCAATCCTTCGATTGCGCCTGGAAAAAATATGTCATTTGCCACTCAGAGAGCGCGCGAGCGCCCTCGAAGAGAAGCACAGGGAGCGACGCGCCCGGGCAGAAAGCGACCTCCCTAGACGTCCGAGGGGTGCCCTCCGTGTTTCGAGGAGGGCGCTCGCACCCTGTTCTCCAATCGGCTGCACGCACGAGTGGCGCTGGGCAAGAGTGACCTCTGGTGCGCGGCTCCTGTGGGGGGCCGCGAGGGGGACCCCAAGCACAAGCGCGCAGGACGCTACTATCGCATCGCGCTCGGGGATCGGGGGACCCCAATGGGCCCGCACCAAAGGTCACTCTGGCGAAAGGTCACTCTTGCGTCTAGTCGAGAAAGCGACCTCCGACCTCCCCAGACGTCCGAGGGGTGCCCTCCGTGTTTCGAGCCGGGCGCTTTCGCCCTGTTTTCCTCGTTTTGAAGAGACAGCGCCCCGCGTTCATTCCTCCCGCTGCCCCCTCCCCCCTCATCTCCCGTCCGTACCTCTCCTCCCATCCCTGCCTCTGTTCTCGGCATGTCGATTGCGGGACACCCCTCACAGTTCGTGGCCCCATAGGGAGCTCCACCGAAGGCCCCAGTGGCATGGTCCGCATGGCACCGCCGCCCCATCTCGGCACACCCCTCACACGGTTCGTGGCCCCATAGGGAGCTCCACCGAAGGCCCCAGTGGCAGGGTCCGCATGGCACCGCCGCCCCATCTCGGCACACCCCTCACACGGTTCGTGGCACCATAGGGAGCTCCACCGAAGGCCCCAGTGGCACGGTCCGCATGGCACCGCCGCCCCATGTCGGCAGAGCGGCAGACCCCTCACACGGCTCGTGGCCCCATAGGGAGCTCCACCGAAGGCCCCAGTGGCAGGGTCCGCATGGCACTGCCGCCCCACTCAGGCACACCCCTCACACAGTTCGTGGCCCTATAGGGAGCTCCACCGAAGGCCCCAATGGCAGGGTCCGCATGGCACCGTCGCCCCATTTCGGCACACCCCTCACACGGCTCGTGGCCCCATAGGGAGCTCCACCAGGCCCCAGCGGCAGGGTCCTCATGGCCGCCCCATCTCGGCACACCCCTCACACGGTTCGTGGCCCCATAGGGAGCTCCACCGAAGGCCCCAGTGGCAGGGTCCACATGGCACCGCCGCCCCATTTCGGCACAACACATCACAAGGTTCGTGGCACCATAGGGAGCTCCACCGAAGGCCCCAGTGGCACGGTCCGCATGGCACCGCCGCCCCATGTCGGCAGAGCGGCAGACCCCTCACACGGCTCGTGGCCCCACAAGGAACTCCACCGAAGGCCCCAGTGGCAGGGTCCGCATGGCACTGCCGCCCCACTCAGGCACACCCCTCACACAGTTCGTGGCCCTATAGGGAGCTCCACCGAAGGCCCCAATGGCAGGGTCCGCATGGCACCGTCGCCCCATCTCGGCACACCCCTCACACGGCTCGTTGCCCCATAGGGAGCTCCACCAGGCCCCAGCGGCAGGGTCCTCATGGCCGCCCCATCTCGGCACACTCCTCACACGGCTCGTGCCCCAATAGGGACCTCCACCGAAGGCCCAAGTGGCAGGGGGCACTGCCGCCCCATTTCGGCACAACACTTACACGGTTCGTGGCTCCACAAGGACCTCCACCGAAGGCCCCACTGGCAGGGTCCGCATGGCGGCGCCGCCCCATTTTGGCGCGCCGCTCACACGGTTCGAGGGCCCATAGGGAGCTCCACCGAAGGCCCCAGTGACACGGTCCGCATGGCACTGCCGCCACATTTCGGCACACCCCTCGCGCGGATCGTGGCCCCGCCGCCCCATTTTGGCACACCCTTCACACGGTTCGTGGCCCCATAGGGAGCTCCACCGAAGACCCCAGTGGCACGGTCCGCATGGCACCGCCGCCCCCTTTTTGCACAACACATCACAAGGTTCGTGGCACCACAGGGAGCTCCACCGAAGGCCCCAGTGGCACGGTCCGCATGGCGGCGCCGCCCCATGTCGGCACAACACATCACACGGCTCGTGGCACCATAGGGAGCTCCACCGAAGGCCCCAGTACACGGTCCACATGGCGGCGCTGCCCCATTTTGGCGCACCCATCACACGGTTCGTGGCCCCATAAGGAGCTCTACCGAAGGCCACAGTGGCAGGGCCCACATGGCGGCGCCGCCCCATTTTGGCGCACCCCTCACGGTTCGTGGCTCCATACGGAGCTCCACCGAAGGCCCTAGCCTGGCCGTGTCGCGTTTGCTGAAGCGCTGTGCTCGCAGCGCGGCGTCCACATCTGCGGCCAAGTCTGCGCGGCGTTTGGCGGCGAGGTGCAGGCCCACCCATCACGCGGTAGAGAGGACGTGGGGTCCGAGCAAATCTAGCATGGCTGCCAGGCCCTGGTCTTCGCCCGCCTTCAGCGGAATGCCCAGCATGCAGTGGAGCTCCAAGAGCACCCACTCGCGCAGGGCGCCCACCTTGCCGGTGAGGAGCGATGGAAATCGCCCACGCACGCACGGTGGGGCACGCTGTAGATGCGGCGGAGGGGGCGGTTCACGCTGGCGACAACCCGCGCGCGCCCCCACACGGCCCCGAAGGCGCCAAAGGGCAGGGCCTTCCCGCCGCCCCGACGCCGTCGTCCAATACGAGACATACAAGCAAGGGGAAGAGATCGGGGTGAACGGGCCATTGACGATCAGCCTAGGCGCGGCCACTTTTCCCGAGGAGCGGGGCGCCGTCTTCGCCCCATCCGCCGAAGCGCCCTGCGACGAAAGTGACAGCGTCGAGCAGCGAGGCCAAGCCGGCCATGCGCATGCACTCTTGGGCGGCCACGGCGAGGTTGGGGCCGCTCGCCGCGGCGTCGTCGAGAGGCCGCACTTTGCAGGAGGAGGCGGTGCGCCCCTGGACGCGGGGGGAGCGTCGCGTGGGGAGCCAGCGCGCGACAGGGGCGGCGGAGTGCACGCGGCCGTCGGCATCGGCCCATGCTGCTCAGGGGCCGCCCAGCTTGCCCGCCGCGCAGTCCTCCTCGGTGACACGGAAGATATCGGCCATGTCTGGCTCCCGCGTGGCTCTCTGGAGCATCTCCAGAAGTGCGGCGCCATGACATCGACAGCATGTTCGAGCGCCTGGTCTAACGCTGCAGCGTCCGGGAGGTCGGCGCCGCCGATGCTCTCGAAAAGCTGCGCGTCTGACAGGGCGCCCCGCATGCGGAAGCCCGCCATGATGTCCGCGATGACGCGCATGTCCTCGCGCCCAGATGCCAGGAGCAGCTCGCGGTGCAACGGGCCGTTGCAAGCGGGCGGCAGCACGTCCCTGACGCGGGGGGCCAGGCTTGCACGCCTCGCGCAAGTTGCGTCTGCCAGGGAAGCTTCGACTCGCTTCCAATACGCCACTTGCCCGACGATCCACTGCTCGCAATCGGGGCAGTCGCGCGACCAGAGGAGAGCGCTGCGGATGGGCGCAGACACCTGCGCCTTGGGCGGGCCCGCGCACGCGGGCGTTGGCTGGCCTGCGCCTGCGCCCCGCGCCTGGTCGACGCGCTGCACAGGCTCGACGGCGCGCTGCTGCTGCACTGACGCTGCATTCGGCCCGCTGGGCGGAGCGAAACGCCGAGGCGGAGCTGCCGCGACGCCCCCGCAACACGGGACGGCATCCCGACGCGCGGCGTCGGGGCGGAGCGCGCGCGGAGGCGGGGGCGCGTAGGGCGGCTGCTTGGCAATGGCGACGTTCTCGAATTCTCGCTCGGCCGCGAGGTCGCGGAGCTCTGCTGCGTAGTCGACCACGACGATACCGCTGGCCGCGCCGGCCGTCCTCTCCGGCGAAGGAGAGGCTGCAGGCTGGGGATGCTGACCGGGCTCGCTAGGGGCGCCCAAGGGCCGCGCTGCTGACGTTGGCCCCGGTCGGCGGCTGCAGGGTGAAACTGGGCGGAGGCTCCGCCCGCGACGCTCTGCCACTGAAGGGCATGAGCGGCGCCCTGGAGGCATTGGCTGCGCGCGCTGGCGGGCGCGGAGCTCCTGCGCAGCCGACGCCGGTCCCGGTCGGCGACGGCGGGGTGTCACTGGGAGGCGGCCATGCCCGCGATGACAGGTTGGCGTGGTTCGCTGGCTGTCTCTACGGGGTGGGCTACCCTGGCCGAAGTGGCGCGAGGCCCGAGCGCGGGCTCGGCGGGGTGCTGCGGGGCGGCGGCGGCCTCGCGACCGCCTGGGGGGCTCGGCTCCGGATGCCCCAGCTGCGCGGGGCCTGCCGTCCCTAGTCAGTCGCGCCAGAACCAGCAGGCGGCGCCGTGCTTGCACGGTTTCAAGTTACTCACGTACCAGCACACGCGGTTCTTGGAAGCGCGCTTGGCGACGTCTGCGACTGGCGCGGGCTTGCCCTTGCCCTTGCCCTTGCTGTTGAGGGGCGGCTGCCACGTGGATGGCGGCCGGCGGTGCCGCGGCGCGTGCTCGGGCGCGGCGCCGGCGCGCTCGCGTCTCTCCTGGCGGCTGGGGCGGCGGCGCTTGAACTGCTGGTCGCTAGCCCATCGTTGGGGAGATCCCGACGGGGCGGGCTGGCCTGCTTGGCGCGGCGCAAGCGCAAGCCAACCGCCCAGCTCATCCGCGCCCAGACTGACCCGATGTCCTGGGCCCAGCCGCAAACGGAAAGCAGATTCTCTATGAGGTAGGACGCCTCCTTGAGCTCGATGAGGCCGCCAGCGGGCGTCTCTGCGATCGGGGGCAAGCGCTCGGCGAGGACGCCGCCGACGCCGGGCATGAGCTTGCCCGCGGCAGGCAGGGCGCGCGCCGCTGCGTCGGACAGGACCTTCGCGACTGCGACGCTCTCGAACTCTCTATTCACTCGGCGCGGGCGCCCCCACCGCCCTCACACGCGGAGGGAGGGGGCCCGGCCGGCGTCGACCTCGCAGCGCGCGCTGCGTTTACCGCCTGCAGGCGCTGCCTGCGGCAATGCGGGTTCAAGTCGCAGTATTCCTCAGC